ATTTCTGATTAATAAAAATTCGAGTCAGAAAAATGTGTTTATTGGTTTTAATGGCTATTTTAGTAGAATTTTTTTTTCACTCATGTACATGATATTCTTCAACTTCTTGAACAAGAAAGTCATACGATATGAACTCCTCATGAGGTTTACTCATGTTAAGCATATGAAAAAAAAAAAGTTTGACTAAAGGATGAAGAAATTATGTACAAGAAACAATATTGGAAATTTGAAACGGGAAAAATAGAAACGGAGGGGCTCGTTAAGGAATGAAATCGACCTTCTCTCAAAATTGAATTTCTTATTTTCCCAATAGTCTATCTAAAGGTTAGAAGTCAATTGTCATTCAAATTAGACCTTTAGATTTCATTCTGACTGTGCACGTCTGACTCAAAACTCTATATTAACGATCTCCTATAGCGTGATAGAATGTATTGTTTTTATAGAAAGTTTCCCTCTTTCTTCCTCAGTTCCTTTAATTTGACTAACATATCAAATGCAAGTTCTTTCTTTCCTCTATGGGATGATATATAGAAGTAGAACAATAATATTGCTCTTTTCCTTTTTCTTTTAGATAACATTGTTCTCTTGTACATACACTATGAGAACAATTATGATAAAACATCCTCACTACTGAACTGTAAAGCAGTGATTCACTTTGAATTATAAATTATTCGATCGATTTTTCAAAGCTCTAGAAAATGATACTATTGTACATGAACTTAATTTGTGGACAAGAGACTTTAGTTAAATGTACAATGTTCATGAGTCCCAAAAGTTGTTCTTTTTCACTAATATTCAGTCGATTTTGATTAGAATAATCAGACTTTCTATAAAAATAAATGATATATTTGGAATTAGCATAACAAACTGAGTTGATCTACATGTGTCACAAAGTCTTCCAACAACTTTTATTTCTATTCCAAAAATTCAGTATTTAAAACTCTGGGAAAATTCAAAACGGTGTTTGAACTTCCAAACATATCATTTATTTTTATAGAAAGTCTGATTATTCTAATCAAAACCGATTGAATATTAGTGAAAAAAACAACTTTTGACACTCATGAACATTGTACATTTGACTAAAGTCTCTTATCCACAAATTAAACTCATGTACAATAGTATCATTTTCTAGAGCTTTGCAAAACCTATCGAATGATATATATTTCAAAGTGGATCACTACTTTTACAGATCAATAGTGAGGATGTTTTGTCATGAGTGTTCTCATATTGTATGTACAAGCGAACAATGCCATCTAAGAGAAAAAGGGAAAGAACAATACATTGACCTACTTCTATATGGAATTTGATAGAGGAAAGAAAACTTTCATTTAATATGTTACTCAAATAAAAGAAGCTGAAGACGAGAGAGAAATTTTCCATATAAACACTACATCGTATCACGCTGTAGAAGATTGATGATATTGAGTTTTGAGTCAGACGCTTGCAGTCAGAACGAAGTCTAACGATCTAATTCGAACAACAATCGCTTTCTGACATCTGAATTGACCATTGGAAAAATAGGAAACTCAATTTCGAGAGGAGACCGATTTCATTGCTTAATGATCCGTTTTCCTTTCTGTTTTCCTCGTTGTAGATTTCCAATGTTGTTTTTTTTTTTACCAATTTTCTTCATTAGTTCTTTTTGCGCACGTATCATATTAAAAATTTCAATCGAATCAATTTCACGATCTTGTGATGAATCTATTAACATGTATGAACAAGAACAATAACATTTGCTTTTATTTTATTCTTTTTCTTTTATTTCTAATATACATATGGTAGTAAAAATTAATTCAGAAAAGTATTTCTCAAAGGTGCTTCTCCTCTTTTAAAATATTTCTGATTCGTCGCGAGAGTACAACCGGTCGAGCACAAATTTTTACCACAGCTAGATTATCGAAAATAATGCGATCCATGTTCGAGAAAAAGTTTTCAAAGTAGGTCTTCAAGAGTTTTTGAAGATCTACCTTTAAAACGTTTTCTCCAAACATGAGTCTCATCATTTTCGATAATCTAACTGTAGTTAAAATTTGAGCCCAACCAGTTGTACTCTGGTGGAGAATCACAAATGATCCAAAAGAGGGATGGTACCGTTAAACCTAGTTAGATGAATATGTGTACGTTTTTGTCATTATCTGTATGTTATTTTTCCATTTGTTTTTCTTTTTGTACAGAAACATATTTTTCATAGAAAGATACAAATAATTATAAGATGGTTTCTGTTTTTATTGATCAATTTTTGGCTATGATATTTTGTCAATGAAAACAAATTACCTATTTGTATTTTGTGTCGGATTTCTACTGAAAATTTTCCAGAATACGGTCACAATACTTGGTTTTTTCACAAGAAGAAAAGACATACTTCTACACTTCTGAAGTATCAATTAGTAACAGTATGTGGCAACAGTAGTTCTCTTTTTTCCATATGTTATCTTTCCTTTTCTCTCTGTTAATCTGACCAAAAGAAAAAAGTTGGCGTTACGTGTTTTTTTGAATATCTCTTACTGCTAAACAAATAATGATAACAAGAGAATCTGTACTCTGTCTTCCGTTTTGAGTTCTATTTTTCATTAGTTCTTTATTAGATTTTCTTAACGAAAACGATACATATTATAAAGAAAAACTGATCATATGACTGTTATTATCAAAAATGTGGCAGTTCTATAATGATTCTGATCTAAGGAACTGTTAAAAACGTTTCCTAATAAGAACTAACCATTCTGTACGGTTTCTCTTAAGCAAACTGATGTCTGAAAATGGTCCTTGTAAATGAGCTATCCGAAGAATTTTTATTCCTCAAATACAACAATTGTGTTCTGTTACTAAGAAAGATATTTCCAATAAAAGAACACAACTATTCCGTTTTAGGAACAATAATATTTTTTAACAGTTGAGTTTTGAGAACTGTTTTCAGACATCAAGTTCTATTAAAAGAACCACTTATACAGATCATTTTCTTTTAAAAGAATATTTCAAGATTTCATCAGCTCATTTGATCTTAACTTATGAATTGGAGTTGATTCATACGTACTTATAATCTCTGGAACAAAAGAAATATATAAAACTATATAGGAACAGGTACAAATATGTAAAAGTATGAAGAAGTACAGAAGTATGTCTCTTTTCCATTGGTTTTTTCAGTAAAATGCAAAACACAGTACATTTTCAAAATCATAAGTACCTTCAGTATCAGAGACCGACACAGGGCACTTTTTTGCCCTGTCCTGTCCTGGTACTGATACATGAAATTTTTCGTTGTCCTGTCCTGTCCTCAGGGCAGGACTGGGCAAGACAGGACAGGGCGGTCTGAAGAGTTTTAGATTGGTTCTATGTTCCGAAACAAAACTTATAACCTGAAGAAGATTTAAAGGCACTTTTTCTTTTCATTATACATACTTTAAATCATTTCAAAAATGCTACAAGATACTAATGCCTATATTCAAATGAAAATAGAGTACCAACTAGTCAATATCAATAAATATACAATGAAAAACGTTGAATATGTAAGTGAAACCCACAAAAACAAATGAAAATATTCAACGTAATAAATGAAATTAAAAAAGCAGACATATACGGTAGTCTGTTTTTGCTATCAACATAGATAATCTGGCTATTGTATTCTTTCTTTGTTCTTCTTTCTGTTCCTATTCTATTCAGATGAAACAAATGATAGTTCGAAATGAATCATAAAAATTATTGCTAAGATATACAATGGATGAAATATAAACGTGATTGGCTTACAGCGACGCCTCATGTGACTATACAAATGATTGAAAATTTTGCCTAAATATAACTTGAGAATTAATAATGATTCACCAGGGAAAAATAACATGCCCTGTCCTGCCCTGTGCCATGGTATAGGCGCCCTGCAGGGCGACCAAGGCAGGACGAAAAAAAAAACCTTTGCCCGGTGGAACAGGGCAGGTCAGGACAGGGCAACAGGTCAGTCCTGCCCTGATGTCGGTCTCTGTTCAGTATGACATATTAGTAGTCAATGATTGGATAATTCATATTTTTGGAATTTTTTATTATTGAATCAAAAATTTAGATTTAGTAAAAATAAATGTGAAAAAAAAAGAAAGATTTCATTTTAGAACTAATTTATAATTTGACGTTTAATACATCGCAAAAAGGAATTAATCATAATTATAGATTGGTAAATTAATGAACCAATAAGAATTTTTTTATGGTGATCAGTAGCTGTCGACACACCCAATTGTTTTTTGTTTTTATTACACATACAGAAAATATGGTTTTGTTTCCTATTAATTCCAAATCAGAGAGCATAACGAGATAGACAAAAAAAATGAAAAAAACAAAAGAGTTGAAGGTTCTTTAAATGATAAGACAATAAAAGAAAATGTAGGCCACTCGGTCAAATTTTTCGTTCTTTCACAAGTTCACCGGTTCATAAGATGAGCTTATTATATGAAAAAAAAAAGAGTTTTTATTCTTCCCCTTTTTCTTTCTTTTTACGTATATATACTACTTTGTCATTGCTGTATAGGTTGTGAACCTATTCTTTTTTTCTGTCTCTTTCGGTTAAGGTTGAATATTGACATAGTTGATTTAGCCGTTTTTCTTTTTCATACATCCATCCTTACATAACTGTCGCATACGTGCTACTCTATGTAAATTCTTGACGTAATAGAATAAAAAAAGAATTGAAATAAGGATATCTGCAATCAGAGCTTTAGGTTGACAAATGTGTTTGTAATTGATCTAGTTCAAGGTTAACACGTAGAACATTCTTTAAAAATTATTTATTCGTTTTTTTTTCTTTTAGTTGTTTTAAGCATTGAACGAAATAAATAAGAACATATGTCGAATGGTCATTATTATCATTATCGTCAACGAAAGAGAACGTTTTTAAAAAATGACTATCGTCTATGATTTGATATTGTTATTGTCTCGAAGTTGACCACGACTGTGTGAAATTATATTCATATATTAAAATCAAAAAAACAAAGAATCGTTCATTGCGTATATACAAATAGATCATGTTGTTTGATATTTTACTAACAGTTTCGAATGTTGTAGAAACAAAACCAGTAAATGAACAGCATGGTTATTGGTAAATAATTTCTTAAAAAAAAAAAAAAAAAAAAAATTTTTTTTTTATTTCTTTTTCAATTAAGGAAACATAGTATATTTACAATTATTGATTCATCTCATATTTCAACATTTATAATTGCTCTTATTCTTATTATTTATGGAAGTTTACGGTATAATTATTTGGTTTTTTTTTTTTCTTGAATTTAAATATTGAATGATTAAAATGTTTGTTTTTTTTTTGTAGAGCATTAGATCAAGATAAATTAAAAGATTCTGTATCTTCTTATAATAAATTCTTATTTGAATCATCAACAAATGAACAAGGTTATTTGGAATTAATTTTATTAATTAAATTTAAATAATTTTACTTTTCATTGTTTTAGTTTCACATTCACATGTTATTGAAACAATGCATGCTATTGCTCTACCTCTTGGTGCATCATTATCATTAATGATTATGTTCTTTTTTTTTGATTCACTTCAAACAGTATTTATTATTTGTACAGCAAGTAAGTTATCAAATCTTTTTTTTTTTTTTTGAAAATATTTATTTTATTATTCTCAGTATTATCAACTATGGGTTTTGCTTATCTTCTAAAACCATGTTGTCAAATGATACTTCGTCCATGTTCTGATAATACAAAGTAAGGTGTTGATAATTAAAAATATAAGTATGTCATGAATGGATACGAGTCATTGAATTGTCTCGAAAAAATTTTGTTTATGACATATTCAAACAACATTTTTATAGTGAAGCTTAAAGTTGAAATATGTTAAAAGGATCAAGTTTCGGTAGTTTCAATATTTATCCGAATCTTTTTTATTTCATTTTACTCGTCATATGATGAGAAATATGTACTGTTCAATGGAGAATTTTGTATTGATTCTGAATATGATATTTATCTCTTTTGTAATTGAACTTCTGTTGGTCAAAATTTTTGAATACAAACCAGTTGTTATAGTATTTTGTTATCATATCGAAAAAAATCGATTTTTACAATAATCAAATAATATTTTTCAAAAAATATGTATAATTTTTTTCTGCCTAACTATATGACCAATAGAATAAAGAAAAGAAAAGATTTAGATAAATATTGAGACTACAACGACTTCATTCTTTTGGTTAGATCCCTCTATGGAATCAACTAAATTTTTTGTCGAAAATTCAGTTTTAATATATAAACTTTTTTTTTTGAATAGTAAGTTTTATTCTCGGATATTTAATACACTTCGGAAGTTCTAGCAATGTTTTATAGAAATATCCGAACACACAACAAAGTCAGAGTCAAATTCAATGACGACTTTTTTTGTCATGTTCATAGGCCTCGATAGGACTTCTAAAATGTATCAAATATCAGAGAACAAAATCTACTATTGAAAAAAGTTCATATATTAAAATTTAAATTTTCACTAAAAAACTTAGTTGACTAAACATTATTTGAATATATCAAAAACAATAATTTTAGCAATAATTCGACGAGCTCTATCCGATTATGATATACTCAAATTTTGAATTATTAGTATTTTAAAATTCTTAATAAAAGAAAATATATTCTTTTTTTTTTTCTATTAGAATATCTTTTGGTATATTTGGTCGTTATACATTATCAGAAATTCTTGCATTCATTTTATCAATAAGTCTTGTTTTTGTATGGATTATTACTGGACATTGGTTATTTATGGATGGTAAATGGAAAATAAATAATCGAAAAATTGAATTTATATTTTTTTTTTTCTATTATTTTATTTAGTTATAGCAATAGGATTATGTATATCATTTATTGCTCTTGTTAGATTACCAAATTTAAAAGTATCAGCATTATTATTATTTGGTCTTGTTATATATGATGTTTTTTGGGTATATTTTTCTCATTATATATTTACAACAAATGTTATGGTTAGAGTAGCAACTAAAGAAGCAGAAAATCCGGTAAATAAAAAAAAAATTATATTAATATTCAATTGAAAATTGAAAATATTTAGTTAACAACAATTGCAAAACGATTAAATTTTAATGATTATCATGCACCAAGACTTTCATTACCCGGTAAAATTGTTTTTCCGAGGTTTGTAAAGCAAAACAAATTGTTTTTTTAAGATAAACATAAATATTTTAATTTTATAGTATGCAACAACAAGGTCGATTTTCATTACTTGGTTTAGGAGATATAATTATGCCTGGACTTGTTCTTTGTTTTGTTCTTCGTTTTGAATCTCGAAAGCGAGCTAATAGTTTACATAATAATGATCCATTATCATTTATTAATCGTTTAACTTATTTTCAATGTTGTTTAATTGGTTATTGTGCAGGTAAAAAAAAAAATTCTTGTTTTTTTTTTTCTTTATTGTAAAAGTAAAATTTTCTTTTTTGTTTTTATAATTAAAGGTTTATTAGCAGCAACTATTTCATCAGAAGTATTTAAATGTGCTCAACCAGCACTTTTATTTCTTGTTCCATTTACATTAATACCATTATTATTAATCGCTCATTTAAAGGTAAATTTAATAATTGCAATAATAATAAAAAAAAAAAAAATTTGCTTTTTAAATTTAGGGTGATCTCAGTTCGATGTGGTCAGATCCATTTGATGAGAATAACGAAATTTCATCTTCATCGTGCAAATTATTGAATGTTTAATGTCAGATGTTTTTTTTTTTCCTTTGATATTCATTTTTGTTTTCAGTGCATTTGTATAGTTCAGATTATTAATGTCAAATTTATTTGATATATGTTTTTTTTCTTCTTAGAACAGTTTATTGTAGTGTTTTTTTTTTCTTTCGTTTCTAATTATCGTCGTATTTGGATATGGTTTTTGTTGTGCGAACAGTTTGTTAGATAGATGCACTTTGAAAATCTGTTCGTTTAATTAAAATATGTGTTTTTAGATAATTTCAATAAAAAAAAAAAAAAAAAAGGATATGGGTAAATCAACATCAGTTTTAACATCAATTTTTTATCTTGTTAAATCATCTCATTCACGTAGTACGATTATAATAACAATAACAACTTTATTAATTTGTATTACGGTTTTTACAATGGCTGGTCAAGCTAATTCTATGGCATTACAAGCATATTGTTCATTATGTATATTTGATTTATTATTCATTGGTACAGCTTTACTTTCAGCATGGATTATGGAAAATAATAATACAAAAGTTCGTCAAAAAATGCAAATTTCAAATAATATTGATAATAATTCAATAAATAATTCAACATCACTTTTTATTCCAACACAAACTATAACAACATTTTCATATGGTACAGCACGTTTTGAAGTTTTAGCTGTATTTACATCAACAATGCTTTCAATACTTGGAGCATTTTTTATTCTTAAAGAATCAATTGAAAAATATCTTGAAGATGAAACAATACATACAGAATATCTTATATTATCATCAATATTAACATATATTATTCATATGATTGTTATTTATTTTGTACGAAATCAAGCATTTGATCATGTTATTGCAGCTAGTTCATCAAGTTGGTTACAAGAACATGTTAGTGATATGTTTCAAAGTGTTTGTCATTATATACCTGGTTTAAGTCGTCTTCTTTTACCACGTATTAATCCATTAGCATTACTTTGTTGGTGTGGTTTAGCTATTGTTTTTTCTGATTCATTCCTTTTAAAAATGGGTTATGGACATTTTGTTGATACATTATCATCATTACTTATGGCTTTTATGACATTTGGTACAATGGTACCAATGGCAATATATAGTGGAAAAATATTATTACAAACAACACCAGCACCTATGATTGGACAATTAGATAAATGTCTTCATGAAGCATCAAGACTTGATGGTGTATTAGAATTTCGTCATGAACATTTTTGGGCTTTATCATTTGGAACACTTGTTGGTTCATTACATGTTCGATGTCGGTTAGTAATAATTTTTTATAATTAATAATCATTTTCAAAAAAGAAGAAAAAAAAAAAAAGTTCTTAGCATAATCTCTATGACATTAAAATGTCAAACATGATTTAGCTATTGTTACTAATCACAAGGAGATTTGTTTTTTTTTTAACCCTATCTAGTTTGGGATACATTTCTTTAACATAATTATTTTGCTTAATCCTCGAAAAATGCGACAAGGAAATAGTTCATATATGATAGCGAAACGTTATTGATTATACAGTCTATGATCGTAGATCAATAACGTTTGTCACGTTCTATGAAGAAGGAGGGAAGATCGAAATTTTTACACCTATACTTTAACACTTCTTTTAGATCGTATTTTTACAAAATAATAATGAACATAATAGAGTAATTTTTGAAAAGATATAGTTAACTTTCTATGATTGTTTAATTCATATAGAATGATTGAGAAAACTAATAGTTTTAATTTGTTCTTTTATTTATTGAAATTTTATTCATAACTGTTGCATTTTAATTGTGATTTAATATTTACTTTATGATTTTTTAAAAGAAAGAATATTGAATAATGCAAATGAATTACAAATTAACCATACAAAAAAAAAAAAAAGAAGACTTCTATAAGAATTCAATTTCTATTAATGTTTATTGATGCTATCGACAAAGTCTTCAGAACAAATAAAGAAAACTTCAGAAGTATTTGTTTGTTCTCTATTCATAGTTCAAACTTAAGAAAATAAAAATTATCGAGAAGAACTTTAATTACATTATTCAGATAAATTTTGAATTATGTTATAATTTATTGATGTCGTTAATAAGGATAAGTAAATACAACAATTCATAAGATTAACTTATTTCTAGCTTAACAACAAATAGAATGATTGTCAGAGATAAATCTTATGAACTTCACAATTATCATGTCTTTTTTACAACTAATAGTGAAAGATAAGATAATTTTATATAGAAGAACATTGAAATAGTTTTAAAAAAAAATTGTAGATTTAATCAAAGACTTGAGTTTGACAATATTTATTCAGGCACGCAAGTATTTTTCTTTTTTTGGATTAGTTTATAATTGGACATAGGAAGTTTTGATTAAATAACAAAGACTATGTCAATCAAAACCAATTCTTATATCAATAAATACATTCTATTACGTTTCCTATCTGTCTTGATCAAAGCAAGACGAGCACTTAAAGAACATCTCTGCCTTTCAGCTATCTTTCAATGTAGAATGCTACCTAAGAGGGAGATTCAATCGTTTAATATCTCTCCTATAACTAATAATAATAGCTGTAGCTCTGGATAGAAGGCCACCATGATGCAAAGTTCTTGCGCTTTCCATACACACTAATTAACCGTCAGGGATAGAATCGATTCATGTTTTTTTTTTGAACAGAACCGATCCTATCTCTGCTAATTACAACGTATTTAGTATATTACATAGTACCTTGAAGATACATATCGAACAACATAGTCATTCAATCATTATCGCTAAGATATCCAATTCTAGAAAATTTTGCATTGACGATCAAATAGACATTTTCACAACACAAAATTTTCTTGTGAATATTTATTTAGAAGAGATGCTGATGAACAATTAGTTTTAGCACATGTATGGAATAAATTAGCAAATGTTGTTCAAATTCTAACAATACATGTATTCAAAGATGATTGGTTACGTCGACAAACACATACATTCATGCAACCTCAAACGAGTAATCCAGTTTTATCAAATAATCCTTCGACTTATAATGGTTTTGTTGTTGTTACATAATATTCTATATTTTTTTTCTTTTTATTTAAAAAAAAAAAAAAACAAAATAAATATATATTTAAAAGAAAAAGAGAGAGACGAAAAAAAAAAAGAAAAAGTTGATTTAAACAGGTGGTGGTGATGTATGTTGTCGCCAAAAATCTTCAACAACATCATGAATATTTCTATTTGCTTCACGCCATTCACGTTGCCATTGTCGTAATTCTTGTACTTCAGTTTGTTTACGTATACGATAACCACGATAAAATGATTGAATTATTAAAGCAGCTTCTTCTTCACTCCATAAAAGTGATTTAGGTAATGGTGCACGTGGATATTTTTCAAAATGTATACGAACAAATGGTATATCTTCTAATAATTGATTATTATCTAATAATTGTTGATTTTGTTCATCAGATAAATTAATTCTATTTGAATTTTTATAATATAAATAACGTGTTAAATAATCAAGTGCATTAAAAGCACTACGTTTACGTTCTAAACATTTACGTTTTTCAGCTTCAATTAATAATTGTTCAATACCTTTTAATAATATTGGATAAATATATTTTTCAAGATATTCAATTGTTGAAAATTCTTTTGAATTTTTTTTCATTGGTGTTATTGAACGTTGAATAGAAGGTATAATTGTTGTTTTAGATAGTTCTTTTTGAAAATCTTTTATTGGTGTTAATGCATAATTAATACAAGCTGGATGAGATATTCGTGTATTAATTTGAATTTGTGTTATATCATCAATTGGTGAATATATATAAGAATAATTACAAAAAATTGGTGAATGTTTTGATGGATCATATATTTGTTTATCAGTTAAAGTTTGTTTTATGTCATTATTATCATGATATTTTTTTTCAAAATTAAGAAATGAACTTGATATAGCACCTGTTTCCGCTTGTGCACGTTTAATAGCAAATTCTGAACAAATATCTTGCCATAAATTAGTTTCTTTACCAACAGTTATAACTGGCATAATTAACAAATATAAGTAAAGATAATCTAGAACAAAAAAAGAATTTTTTTTTTCTTCTTTTGAAGTCATTTTTATAAGTATTATATTTTATAATATAAATGTAAATGAGATAATTTCTCCTCATATATATATATATATTCTTATTCAAAATTTCAAGTGTCTTTTATATAGAATAAAACAGCTGAATGAATTGAATATTTTATGAGAATAAATGCAGTAGTTTAAAGGTAAGCATTAAAAGGTAGGTCGATTTTTGTCATTTATAATCATGTTCCAAGAAAATTGATTCATGTAAGACTTCATGTAGCTCGAGAAGAAATGGTCTATCGATAAAACTACCAATGAAATAATTTCTATACATAGACAAGGAGTACTAATACTATTCAACAAGGTTTATTTTCAATTTTTTCTACTACCATACGCATAAGAAAGAATTCAAATAGAGAAAATTGTCTCTAAAAGGAACATCAGGAAATAAAAATTATTATCAGATTCACAAAGATAGAGACTCTAGGCTAGTTTTTCAGTACCTAGAGCAAGATAAATATACTTCTCTTTAGACTACATAGAACGATAGAACAAACAATTCTCTACAAAATGAGATGCCTTCAAGTTCTCTATAATATTTTTAGTTAAGATCCAGCAATCTCACGGAAGTTCATAAAATCGTTTTTTTTTTCAATTTCCTATAGCAAAAATCATTTTTTGACTTTCAATTAAATTACTGGCAAAAACAAAATTCATAAAGAACTCGACGATGTCTTATTTTGGTAAAGAATGGTTTACTCTATCGTTCCATGTAGTCTAACAAAATTATATTTACTCCTTCTAGGTGTTGAAAACTTAGAGTTTTAGTTATGAAAAATACTAATAAAAATTATTGATACCTTGTCTAAGGTTTTTTTTAAATACATTCTTAAAAATCAATATTTATTAATAGGCTATTCCATACTTCTTCGACTGCATTTTCTAGTTCAAGTAGTGACTTTTGAATTCTTAAAGTTCAGGCTATAATATAATCATTCATATAGTTCAATATTATATGCTTAACTAGATAAAACGACTGGAGTTCTGGAGTACACTTCCGTACTTCGAAAAAAATTTCTCTCGTAAGACTCTAAATATGATCAATGAAGCATGAAATAACTTATTAACAAATATTATTCAAGAGTCTATTTCAACAAAAAAACTCAGACAAGCATATGAATACTTTCTTTCTTCGTATTAAACTTTTATTTGTATTATTAGAATCTAAATTTGTACTATTTATATATATATATCTACGTAAATTTTTTCTAACGATAAACTTTATATTTTATATGAAAAATACGATTCGCAAGCATTTTGCCATTGGTAGAATGATATTTGTAAAACGAAGATACAAAATTATCATGAAATCGATCAGATAAAATTGACTCTAAAAAGATAACACAGGTGAATAAAATTGAAAACATTCATAACTGAACGACTGACTAGACGTAAAATCCTTCGGACGATTTGTCAAGAAATATTTCAAAACCAACAAAATCTATCCTTCAAAAAATATCTCATTATTAAAAAAAAAAAAGAAACTCAAACAACCATCCTGAAATCATTCTCCATGTACTTGACCTTATTTCGATCATTCATATCGATAGATGTCGTCAATATATATTTCTTTTCATTATTAATTCATTCGTTGTTTAATATCCAATGTATATGAACAAAAAGAAGTCATTTATAGTTTGATTTCATCACATTTTTTTTGTTCTTGTTCTTTTTTCTGTTGATGTTTTTTTCTTTCTATGGTTATTTAGAACTGAATTTTTTTTCGTCGTTTTCATTTACTATCGTACGTATACATTTCGAGTATAGGTAAAGGTATCATCTAATGACTTTAGTTTGTCCTTGTTTATAAAAATAAATAAGAGGTGAAAAGCAAGTTTTATTTTTAATATTACACTGATAGTATATAGTACCTTTTTTTTTTATCAGTGCAACTGAATATCTATTTTTTACGGTTTGATCTATTAGTTTTTAGTGTAATATACTAGGAGTCTAACTGTTATTGTCATTAAATATAATAGTAATAAATTGATATTCAAGAGTCTATAGAAATTTTGTCTTCTTTTTCCTACTAGTAAGTATGCGAGTTGTTCTCTTCATTTTTCTTTCCCATTTTTTCCTTGTAACGGTTTCCTGAAGGCTATAGACGAGAAAGAGAAAGGAACAAGGTTGTAGGCATTCATCAAAATCCTTTGGATAAATAATTAGGCGCAATGTCGCCAACGGCATCATCAATGTACTCCTATGATCGTTGTTGTTCTTAGCTCATGTGTATCATTTCATTTGTTTATGGCCTCTATGAATGATTGTTGATAAGATACAATTTCAAATCGAAATAAATCATTGTAGGTAGTTATATCTGTTAAGTTGTTTACAAATCTCAAATCTCTCAAACATTGATCTGATTTCTTTTTTTTCTCTTATCTTACATGTTCTTTTTTTTTTGTCTATATAAATCTGTACATCGATATCCTTGACATTCGGATTAATCAAAGTACAGCAGTAGTATATAGTAGTAATAATAATAATAATCAAAGAAGGTCGTCTAATGTTTGCTATTTTCTTTCTTATAGATTTTTTTCGTATACTATATCTCTTTATTATTATAGATATATATATAGATATATATATATTTTTTTTCTTTTGTTCGTTCATCTTCAAAAAAAAAAAGAAATGTCTTAAAATAAGAAAATGTATGCTTATGTTGAATTGTCGAATATAGCACGAACAGATTCTATCATTCAATCATTATCATGGATGCATTATTTGCCTACACTATCATCGTCATTAAATGTTTCTAATGATGGAAATAATACAAATAATAATGATAATGATAATGATAATGATGATAATGATAATAATAATAATAATAATCGATCAATTCCATCACTAACAACAACAACAATTCAACAATCAATTAATTTATATGATGGATGGTTAGCAACAGGTAACACAAATCATATTGTTAGTGTAACATATACATCAATAAGATCTGATGAAAATTTATCTATACCTGATCGTACAAATTTTAATTTACGTGCACATCGTACAGAAGTTCGTCTTGTTTCATGGAATGTACCATTTCAAAAATTAGCAACTGTTGATGAAAAAGGTGTTATTTTTGTATGGGTTAAACATGATAATCGATGGTCATTAGAATTAATTAATGATCGTAGTCATCCTGTTATTGATATGGCATGGTCACATGATGGTCGTATGACTGTTATTTGTTATGAAGATGGTTTTGTTCTTGTTGGTTCTGTTACAGGACAACGTTATTGGTCAACAGTTGTTAATACAGCACAAGCAAAAATTTCAGCTGTTACATGGATGCCTGATGTTTCACAGTAAGAGAATAAAATGAAAAAAAAAAAAACAAGACTTTTATTTTTGTTTTCAGTGTTATTCTTGGTACAACATCAGGAAATTTAATATTAATGGATCATCATGGTAATACAACTGATGGTTTTGAATTATCAACACAATCAATAACACAATTACTTTATTCATGTAATAAATTTTATCCTGAAGCACCTGATAATAGTAAATTGAATATCCCAAAAAAAAAAATTAGTCCTTATAAATCTATTTTTTACTTTGTTTTTATTTTATAGATGCATCAAAATTTGTTAATGATGATTATGTTCTTGCTTGTAGTCTTGATAATGGTCATGTACTTTTTCTTAATAATTATCAAGATCAATCACCAATATCTGTTGATACTGAACTTCAAAGTAAATAAAAGATTATATATATATATATATAAGTTTTTTCCTTATATTTATTTAAAAAAAAAAAGATATTAAAATGGATTGGTCATCACCTGGTGAAATTCTTGTTGTAGGAGGTCATAGATATTTAAATGATTCAATTTATAATAATCAACTTATATTTTATACTCGTCGTGGAGAATTTTTACATCGTATTCATATTCCACAAACGGTTTGTAATTTAATTATAGAAAAAAAATAGTTTATTCATCGAA